AAAGATGAGAGGATATTAAGGCTTTAAGAGGTTAAGTAGCTTTTCCCGGGTTCACAACTAGTAAGCAGAGGAGCCAAGTTTTGGCTCTAGATCTCTAACTCCAGAAACTGTGCCTTTATTCAGCATGGTAGGCAGCCTAAATCAGACTACCCAATCTATTTTAAAACTCTTACATTGAGGTGCCTTGATGGCTCAGTTGGTTAAGTGTCTGACTCTTGGTTTCAGCTCAGGTCACAATCTCAGGGTCATGAGATTGAGTCTCGCATTGGGCTTCGGGTGGAGTCGGCTTGAGCCCCCCACCCACTCTCTCTCTCTCAAATAAATAAATAAATGAAATCTTAAACTATCTTATATTGAGTGGATAATTCTGTGCCATTTATCCAAGTTTTTGTTGTTGGTTTTTACTCACAGATAAGGTTCAACTTACAAAGTATACTTACTACTCATTGTGTTCAATCCTCTACACATGAAGAATCTTGTTAAAGATAGTATATCTCACTCTTCAGATGCCCCCCTCCAAACACCCACATGCACATGTACACTCCCACCCTCTACCCTTCTAAAGAGGGTATTCTAAATTAATCTTTTAAAACATGATAATGATAGTGGCTATGCTTTTAAGTTGGGAAACTATAGTCTTTTTTTTAAGATTTTATTTATTTATTCATGAGAGAGAGAGAGGCAGAGACACAGGCAGAGGGAGAAGCAGACTCCATGCAGGGAGTCCGATGAGGGACCCAATCCTGAGACTCCAGGATCACGCCCTGGGCTGAAGGCAGGTGCTAAACCACTGAGCCAGCCAGGTATTCCCTGGGAAACTACAGTCTTATTAGAAACAAATTGCTAATAATATTGAGGTACAACTCTTTTGAAGCAGTCTCTGGACATTGAGCACAAATACAAGATGCCCTAGTTCTCAGCTTTTTAGGATTTGAAGCATAATTCTCTAGTTCCATTAACCCCAAGGTAGGCTCCATGAGAATGAGGTCCACTGGCACCTGGCACATAGTAGGCACTCAATAAATATTTGCAGAATGAATGAATATAAATGAACATGAACCCTTCTGTGATTGTGCCTCTTAAGAAATTATTATTGTGCACATACAAGTGTTAGAAGCCGAGCCAGCCACCCTCACCAGATTTCTCTTCTTCCAGGTCTCATAAATGTGACCATATACTTAAATGGCAAACAATTTAGACCGGGGGGGGGGGGGAGGCAGATCAAGAAGATTGTCTTTAAAATATGTTAGAACTTAAAAGTTGGTCCTGACATTGCTCTGCATAGGAAACCGAGGAAAATGTGACTGTAATGCGTATCAATAGCAATCTATGCTACTTAGTACCACGGATGTTCTCTGCACATCTCCTAGAGCAGAGGTCAGCAAACTTGTTCTCTAAAAGCCAGACAGGAACTATTTTAGGTTTGGCGGGCCATATAATCTCTGAACTGTTTGACTCTGCCATTGTACTGCAAAAGCAACCATAGATAATATTTTTTTAAGGGTATGGCTGTGTTCTGATAAAACTTTATTTATAGGGGCACCTGGGTGGCTCAGCGGTTGAGCATCTGCCTTTGGCTCAGGTCGTGATCCCGGGGTCCTGGGATTGAGTCCTGCATCGGGCTCCCTATAGGGAGACTGCTCCTCCCTCCGCCTGTGTCTCTGCCTCTCTCTGTGTGTCTCTCATGAATAAATAAATAAAATCTTTAAAAAAAAACTTTATTTATAAAAACGAACGGCAGGCTGTATTTGGCCCACGGCCATAGCTGCCAGGCCCTTGGTCTAAAGCTTGTTTAATTGTAATAAGTTAGGTATTTTGTTACATCTCTGAGAGAAGGGTCATATCAGTAGTATAGTATAGTACCCTTTTTTAAGGCATTACATAAATCATATATCTCTTATTTATCTAAGCTTTAGGCCTTAAAAATTCATTGAGTGGCACACCATACAATATAACGACGGTCTATTAGACAGGAAGATACGGAGAATGGAGTTTGTAGGCCACAAGATTTTCTTGAATGTGTGAAACCTCTTCATTGTGCCATTTCTTTTTTTTTTTTTTACTGGCCTCTAACAAAATCCTAATTTTACTGGATTTTATTTTTGTCCTTTTTGTATCACTCATCTCTGTCACTTTCAAGTTTTTTTTTTAATTGTGGTAAAATATACATAACCAAATTAACCATTTTAACTTTTTAAGTATACAGTTCAGTGGCATTAAGTACATTCACATTGTTGTATAACCATCGCCACCATCCAACTCTAGAACTTTCTCATCATCTCTGATTGAAACGCCATAAACACTAATGCTCCATTCTCCCCTTCCCCATCTTGCAGCAACCATGATTTTACTTTCTAACTTTGTGAATTTGTCTATTCTAGATACTTCATATAAGTGGAATCATACAATATTTGTCCTTTTGTGTCTGGGTTATTTCACTTAGCACAGTGTCTTCACGGTACATCCAAGTCATAACACGTGTTACAATTCTCTTCATTCACAATTCTCACTAAATCATACTGCCCCTTGATGTTACAGCAAGTGAACCAAGGAAGTATGGTTTAGCCAGCTGGCAAATAAGCATCTCAGACCTTTATTGTGTCCCTATAATTTTTCTGTGTTTTTTTTTTCTTTCAAAGATCAAATTTACCTAATTATTTTTTTTATTTTTTTTAAATTTTTTTTATTTATTTATGATAGTCACACACACACACACAGAGAGAGAGAGAGAGAGAGAGAGAGAGGCAGAGACACAGGCAGAGGGAGAAGCAGGCTCCATGCACCGGGAGCCCGACGTGGGATTCGATCCCGGGTCTCCAGGATCGCGCCCTGGGACAAAGGCAGGCGCTAAACCGCTGCGTCACCCAGGGATTCCAAATTTACCTAATTATTCCTGAAGTTTCCCCTAGTATTCTACACAATTCCTCTTGGTAAATTCTTAAAAATAATGTTCCAGATTCCAGTTGAATGATGAAACTATGCCATTTAAAATTGTTTTTACAAAGAGTTTTAAGAATGTGGAGGCATGCTTATAAAATGAAGCAAAGCAGCAAGATATAAATTTGTTGGAAGCCAAGTTCTATTCCCCACCCCCCCAAAAATCCTATTTTTAAAAAAAGGTGGGAAAGTTTAGCTGTGGCTGTCATTGAATAGGAATAATAGGAATTACTCCTTTTCCTGCTTTTCTTAATTTTCCATAAAATTTACCTGAATACTTTTGTAGCCCAAAAAATGAAATAAACTCCGCTTTTCAAAGAGCCATTTTGCAAAAGCACAGTACAAAGCTCCTAATGATAACCTTATTGTATTTTTAAAATCATCTCCACAGAGCCCTGTACTGTATGAGTGAAGGTGGCATGGTTTAGAATTGCACTGTTGTACATGGCTATTTTTTTTTAAGATTTATTTTATTTTTAAACTTATTTATTTATTTATTTATTTATTTATTTATTTATTTATTTATTTATTTGACAGAGAGCGTGCATGTGTGTGAGAAAACACAGGCAGGGGGAGCAGCAGGCAGGGGGAGAGGAAGAAGCAGACTCCCCACTGAGCAGGGACACCGATGCAGGGCTTGATCCTAGAACCTGGGGATCACAACCTGAGCTGAAGGCAGATGCTTAACTGACTGAGCCACCCAGACACCCCTATGTATTTTAGAGAGACAGTGAGTAGGGACAGGGGCAAAGGGAGAGGGAGAGAATCTCAAGCAGACTCCTGCTGAGCTTAGAGGCCAGTATAGGCTAGATCCCACAACCCTAGATGATGACCTGAGCTGAAAATTGAGTTGGACATTTAACCCACTGACCCACCCAGCTCCCCAGGGCTATTTAAGTTAAATGAAACAAAAAACTGAGGTCAGCAGTTAACACTAGCCCCATTTTAAATGTTCAGTAGCCATAAGTGGCTAGTGACAGCTTTTCCATCATCACAGAAAGGTCTATTGCACAGCCCTGCTTTTGAAGAGAGAACGTGGAATCTGCAGCCAAGGTGACTTGGATTCAAGTCCCGGTAGGAGTTGACACTTGCTGGGTCAGGTGAGCAATTGACTCAGCCTCTCTGAGCCTAGAGACAAATGAGGAGTAATGATAGTTAGTATCACTTTCCGTGTAAGGAGGTTAAGAAGATGGGATAAGATAATGCATGTGCCAGTTCTCCAAAGATGAACTGTGGCTTACCGGGTAGTAGCTGCTTTACAAACTCCTGGGGAATCCATGAATGGTTTCTACCGAGACTTCAGCCTAAATGACACCATAAACATCAGAGTTACCATCTCTTACCACGCAGTTCCTAGGCCAAGTTCCTGGCAAAGTGGATGTCCCATTTGACTCTTGTAAAAAAAGAAAAAAGAAAAGAAAAAAAAAGCTTCAGCACACATGTCTGTATCTATGTTGCATGCATAGATAACACCTCAAAGTTTTCTTCGACAACTTAAATACACTGCTCCATTTCCATTCCTCAATGGACAAGACCGTGTTTTTTTTAAAAAAAAAAAAAAAAAAAAAAGCAAGCAAGCAAGCAAAGAAGGAGGCTTTGTCTGCCAGAGGAAAACACATGGGGTAAATAAAAATGGTAGAACTGAAAGGAAATCAATCTGAGTTGCCAGTGCAGGAATTGAGCAAAAGATGTTGCCATTTGCTTGCAAGAGTGTGAGGTTCCCGCTGACCATTACAACAGGTTCTCTGCGCTTCAGAGCTGTTGGGGGTACTGATTAAGCGGAAGTACTTGTTCATTCTGATTTGTGTGTGTGTGTGTGTGTGTGTGTTCCCCTCCCCCCCCTCCTGCCCCGAGTCACTTCTGGTTTTTCCTGCAAAACAAGCTGACTCACGCAGAGCTGCTGTCCTTCGCTCTCATCCGAGCACCTGCTGGGGCACAGCGCGCGTGCCGTGCCGTGCGTGCGTGTGGCTGAGGGAGCCGCGTTTGGGGGCGGGCCGGGGGGGGGGGACCCCGCGCGGTGCACAGCCCACGCTCGCTCACCGTCCCGTCCGCCTCCGCCCCAGGTCTCCGCCAGCCGTGGATGCCTTTGACGCCATGACCGCAGAGGACGCCGCCGCAGCCATGAGCAGCGACTCCGCGGCGGGCGGCGCGGCCTCCGCCAAGGCGCCCGAGGGCGTGGCCGGGGCGCCCAACGAGGCGGCGCTGCTGGCGCTGCTGGCGCGCACGGGCTACCGCATGGTGCAGGAGAACGGGCAGCGCAAGTACGGCGGCCCGCCGCCCGGCTGGGAGGGCCCGCACCCGCAGCGCGGCTGCGAGGTCTTCGTGGGCAAGATCCCGCGCGACGTGTACGAGGACGAGCTGGTGCCCGTGTTCGAGGCCGTGGGCCGCATCTACGAGCTGCGCCTCATGATGGACTTCGACGGCAAGAACCGCGGCTACGCCTTCGTCACGTACTGCCACAAGGGCGAGGCCAAGCGCGCCGTGCGCGAGCTCAACAACCACGAGATCCGCCCGGGCCGCCTGCTCGGCGTGTGCTGCAGCGTGGACAACTGCCGCCTCTTCATCGGCGGCATCCCCAAGACGAAGAAGCGCGAGGAGATCCTGGAGGAGATCGCCAAGGTCACCGAGGGCGTGCTGGACGTCATCGTGTACGCCAGCGCGGCCGACAAGATGAAGAACCGCGGCTTCGCCTTCGTCGAGTACGAGAGCCACCGCGCCGCCGCCATGGCGCGCCGCAAGCTCATGCCCGGCCGCATCCAGCTGTGGGGCCACCAGATCGCCGTGGACTGGGCCGAGCCCGAGATCGACGTGGACGAGGACGTCATGGAGACCGTGAAGATCCTCTACGTGCGCAACCTCATGATCGAGACCACCGAGGACACCATCAAGAAGAGCTTCGGCCAGTTCAACCCGGGCTGCGTGGAGCGCGTCAAGAAGATCCGCGACTACGCCTTCGTGCACTTCGCCAGCCGCGAGGACGCCGTGCTCGCCATGAACAACCTCAACGGCACCGAGCTGGAGGGCTCGTGCCTCGAGGTGACGCTGGCCAAGCCCGTGGACAAGGAGCAGTACTCGCGCTACCAGAAGGCGGCCAAGGGCGGCGGCGCGGCCGAGGCGGCGGCGCCGCAGCCCAGCTACGTGTACTCTTGCGACCCCTACGCGCTGGCCTACTACGGCTACCCCTACAACGCGCTCGTCGGGCCCAACAGAGACTACTTCGTGAAAGGTTAGTGGGGGCTATTGTGCAGGGCCGGGAGGGAGCGGGGGACTGGGGCCATGTGGCCCGGGCAGCGGCAGGGGTGTCCCGGCTGCAACCGGCTGAGCTGGGGGGTGCGCCCCATCCCCCACTCACCCTCCCACGCTTCTCTGCCTGTCAGTTCTGGGGTCTGCGCTTTGCTGGCGCTTGGGGCATTCGCCACCCTGGCAGTGAGGGAAATGCAGATCCTTTGTATGTATGCATGGGGTGAGCGTCGGAGGGCACAGGCACATGCAGCCGCTCCTTGCGTGCCGCCTTTTCCCTGGGCCTACCCAGTCTGGGGCTCGTCCGCTAGTCGATGCGTACTTAAGGCTTAAAGCCTCCCTGTGAAATGAACTCTTTAGGATGTTGGGAAGTGGGAAGCGCAGCGTTGTCACATTGTCGGGGTGGTGCTGGTGGTGGTGGTGGTGGTGGTGGTGGTGGTGGTGGTGTTTGTGAAGTACTGGGCAGGGTAAGACGGAGAGCAAGCATTCCACGGGGAAACTGATACTGAAGTTCTGGGTCCTGCCGTCATCAGATGCACTGGCTCTGTGCCTTTCATCAGTCCCTTGAACCTCCCTCAGCCGGTTTTCTCACGCAGAAAATGAGGAAGGTGAACCAGCTGATCCCCTTGCAGATCTAACTTTTTTTTTTTTTTTTTGCAGTCTATGAATGTGTTTCTTTATTGAAGTGGCGGTCGCAATCCTAGGAACTCCCCATGCAAGTTCATCTCTTGCGTTAAGCAGGCACACTTAGGGTACGATTCTAGGCCAGAGCAGAATGTGGGAAGCATCTTACCAGCTCACTGAAGGGCAGAGTAGTGTGACCACCTGCAGCTAGGCTCAGGGCAAACCTCGAAATGCCAAGAACCTTGGCTTCAGATCTGCCTCTTGTCTGGTCACTGTTGGATGCTCATCATTTTTTGTGTTGTTGTCATAAGCAGGCAGCATAAGAGGCCGGGGTCGAGGTGCAGCTGGCAGCAGAGCCCCAGGGCCCAGGGGTTCCTACCTTGGGGGATATTCAGCTGGCCGTGGTATTTATAGCCGATATCACGAAGGAAAAGGAAAGCAGCAAGAAAAAGGATATGAACTTGTACCGAATTTGGAAATCTCTGCCGTCAATCCAGTTGCCATTAAACCTGGTACAGGTCAGTATAAACCAGAGATAGATAGAATGCATCCGTTCAGCTGAAACCCCAGCGCTCTCATTGAAGTGACCCCAGGCTTTCCTCAGGCTTTCATCTGCACGTGGGCTCCTCTTCTCCCAGGCAGCCAGAGGTTAGGCCAAGAATGTGGCCTCCTGGGCCCCCTTATCCAGAACTTAAGGGAATGGTCTAGCTCCAACCATGTTCAAGCCACACTTTTTCAGTAGTGGGTTTTTCAAATAAGTGTCACCAGTCGTTAGGCTCTTTCTCAATCTGTGGCCTGATAGGCAGAGTTGGAGTGGCGGGGAGGGGCGGAGGAAGACAACAGAAGACCAGGAGGCTCTTCTCTACCTTCTGGCCTGCTCAGACTGTCTTCTCCTTCCTGAAGCCTGTTGCTACACCAGCAGTCGGAAGCCAGAGGGTCCAGCTGATTGCTGGTTCTGTGAGTTGGTGGAAAGGGTAGGAAATTCCACCACGGGAGTGCAAAACACAAGCGTCTCTTGTGCTCTTCGACACACCAGAACACATAGGGACAAGGCAGTGGTGAAAGTTTTTGCAGCTGCTCATGTCCTGGATTCTGATTTCCAGCACGCCTCTTCCCCCTCTTGCTGGGTCAGTAGATGGGAGGTAGGGACACCTAAGTGATTCAAGCCAGAAACCTTGAACTTTGCTTTCACCTCCAGGCCCCACAGTCCAGTTTGCCAGTGTAATCAGTGCCCACTGGTCACCTAACAGGAGGAAGGTCTTCTTTCTGGTCCTGACGTGCAAGGAACTCCATTGTAAGCACGTCATAGCACCAGCTCCCTATCAGCACACCATGCAAGCATCCGGACTCAGGGAAAATTCATCCGTGGACAGTCAGAGCGACCCTTCTCCAGCCCTCTTCCTGGTTTCATGGGGGGAGATGGAGGAGCTCTTTGAGAGAATCCCCCCCTTGAAGCTCAGCTACTCTGAGTTTCTTCTGGTTGAGGATTATACGCTCCTTTCCCTAGCTGAGAGTCAAAGAAGCTGCATTTGGGCCATAGGTTTGCATGGCCACATAGGCCTCAAAAAGCATTTTCCCAGTAGAGCTTCGTTTTTTATAATCCAGTGATAATTTTTTTCACCTATGAAAAAATGTTGTAAATTCTGTCAAGTGACTCTTTATGCTGGATTTCCTCGTAAATGCCATCGACACTATGAGCAACTTAAAACAGATCACGTCTCTGTCTAAAGTCATAAAACAGAGCCTGGATATAGGACAGGCTTCTACTCGTTGGAAAAGGGACCCCTGTTGGCAAGTTGGGAGCAGGGGACGTCTTTACCAGCTCCCCCCTCTTCCTTTTCGGTAGCACCTTGTTACCTGTACTGAGGGAGTGTTAGTTAGCAGGGGAGGCCCGTGACTGCTAAACTTGGTTTGAAAACGACCAAGAAAGCGACCGATCTTCCTCGGGGACTTTCAAGCGATGTGCATTTCCCTGTCCCTTTTTCTTGCAGTGGCCATCCCTGCCATTGGGGCCCAGTATTCCGTGTTCCAGGCAGCGCCAGCCCCTAAAATGATTGAGGATGGGAAAATCCACACAATGGAGCACATGATCAGCCCCATCGCTGTGCAGCCAGACCCAGCCAGTGCCGCTGCCGCTGCCGCCGCCGCCGCCGTCATCCCTGCCGTGTCCACGCCGCCACCTTTCCAGGTAGAGCTCCTGCTAGGGTCATCGACATTTGTGTGTGAGGCTTCCCTTTATCATGGATTCATTTCCTGTTCAGCAGGACGATTAGCTGTGTGCCTAGCTCTCTGATGAAGCATAGGATGGGGTGACAGAAAGAAATGTGTCCTATGAATCAGGACAGGACAGAAAAGTTTAAAATACTAATCATACCACCTTAGTGTTATCACTGTATTAAAGATCGGAAGCAATATGCCAAACGACACATGTAATTCTTCACAGTCTCATAATACCGTCCCTACGATTTTTTTTTTTTTTATGACACTGGATAATCTTTAACTTGTGTTCTTACTGTCCAGGAGCCGACTTACAAAGTCCAGGGAGATAGCTTACATTTTCACATTCCAAATTGCAGTTTGAAGATTTTTTTTTTTATATATAGGTTTTCTCTCTTTCTCTCTCTCAGGGCTCCTGGGTGGCTCAGTGGATTAAGTGTCTAATTCTTGGTTTCAGCTCAGGTTGTGATCTCAGGGTCATGAGATCGAGCCCCACATTGGGCTCCATGCTCGGTGTTGGGTCTGCTTGGGAGTCCCTCCTTCTACCCCTCTCCCTCCCCCACTCCCCACCTGTAGATGAATATTGAAATATCCATATACGTATATAAGAATGTGTGTGGAGAAAGAACTATCTGTAGAGACACAGATGTATGAAACTTTACAAAATCTGCCCTTCATCCTCTCCCCCTTCCAGATCAAGGTATTACCATTCCTCCTGCCAGTCCAGTCTTACCATTCCAGCCTCCTTCCCCACCTTTTGCTCATAGCTTCTCTTCTGTATGTTCTCTATAGTCTCATGACTTCTTTAGAATCTTTCTCACCCACCCAGCCTTGGAAATCCTCTCTCTTGTATTTTCTCATTTCCCACATTATTACTTGGCATATGGTTGCCAGTATGTTCTATGTCCCCAGCTAATGAAGCTACTCTAGACCAAGAGCTACATCTTATATTTTATCTTCAGCGCAGAGCACGTAGGGAATACCTATAGGTGAATAGGTCATTCATCCAAACAAAGCAAAATCGTGTTAAAGCTCCTTTTTGTGAGGCAGTGAATCTCATATACCTTATCACTTGACAAGCACAGATACTCAGGCCTGGGGTCTCTTACCCCACTAGATAAGAATTATCCAGGGAGTATGTTAAAAGCAGATTCTTAGACTCCAACCCAGAAGATTCCCGCTCGACAGAACCCTGTGGGGGTTCTAGAATGCATGTCTTGTACGCGCTCCTCAGTAATGCTGAAATAGGGTCAGACTTGAGAGTCACCGCCCTGCAGTGCTGCTCACTCCCTTTTGCCCTCTCTCCGCACCAGCCTTGACAGTGTTGTTCAGAAAGGGTCACACCAGTTGAAATTTATTCACCTGCTAGTGTGTCATCGAGTATTCCTTAAGCCCGGACTTCCTAAAGCCAGAAAGGAATAGGTCGTGAATGACTCATGCTATAAAATGGCAGCTAAGTGGAGCTACTACTTGTGGACTGACTATAAACCTCTAGAATAAGCTACAAACAATGCTTAGTGTGGGATTCTGGTAATAATTTCTAATTTCTCCTCACTAAGAAATTCGCAAACTTTTATGCTTGGTGCATAGCATCCCAAATTCCAGGTCTCATACTCATGCTCTTGATCACAGACTCTGGCTTTTATCTGTCTCCACCAGATGTTGCCGTCTGGGTCCTCTTTTTTTTTCTTTTTTTTTTTTTAAGATTTTATTTATTCATGGAAGACACACACACACACACAGAGGCGAGGACATAGACATAGGCAAAGAGAGAAGCAGGCTCCCTATGGGGAGCCGGATGTGGAACTCAATACCAGAACCCGGGGATCATAACCTGAGCCAAAGGCAGGCACTCAACAACCACTTGAGCCACCCAGGGGCTTGTTCAGAGTCTTATCAGTTGATTCCGACGGAGATTTTCCCCCTCCTTCAAGGCATCCTGCAGAAAGCCTGGAGCTATGTACTTTTGAACCCAAGAATGACTTCATTTGAGTGTGTGTGGCCTTGCTGCTCACCTACCAGTCTTGGTTCTCTGTGATTGAATTCTTTGACCCTGTGCTTTCTGAACATTCAGTTCCCTGTGCCCCACCCACCTACCCACCTCCGTATTCTCTGCCAAATTACAGCAAAGGAAGGAGCATTTTAAGCAATACTGACTGGTGAAGGGAACACTTTTCTGAGTGGAGCCACGCTAGAAGTCAGTTCCCATCATTTCTTCTAGAACCTTCCTGTGGCACACCCTCAGGCATAGTCCTCTGTCCCATGCTCACATGCTGTTTAGCCTTTTTTTTTTTTTTAAGATTTGTATTTATTTATTCATGAGCCACAAAGAGAAAGAGGCAGAGGCAGAGACATAGGCAGAGGGAGAAGTAGGCTCCCTCTAGGGAGCCTGACACAGGACTCGATCCCAGGACCCTGGGATCACAACCTGAACCAAAGATAGATAGATGTTCAACTGCTGAGCCACCCAGGTGCCCGTTTAGCCTTTAAAAAAAAAAATTTTTTATTGAGAGAGTGAGAGAGCACAAATGGGGGAAGGGCAGAGGGAGAAGCAGACTCCCTGCTGAGCAGGAGCCTGCCATGGGGCTCAGTCCCAGGACCCCGGGATCATGACCTGTGCCAAAGGCAGACATGTAACTAACTGAGCCCCCATTTTGCCATTTTGTATTCTCAATTTCCTTTATAGATCACGTTAAAAAATATTTGCTAGCATGGGCAGTCAGTGTTTTGGATTTATTTCTCAAAGTATTTTCGATCTTTACAAATCTATGGTATAAGTAGAGTAGGGATAGCTATTTGCCTTGAATGAGGTCTTTTTCTCTCCTCCTTCCTCCCCCAACTCCCCATGTTCAACCCACCCAAGCCCAGGGGTTGAGCTGGACCATAGCACAGGGAAAGGTTTCTCTCAGATATCCCCTTCCCTTCAATTTCATCCCTTTGTTCATTTATCACTAAATGTATGTCCACACGTTAGGCAAAGGTTGCTTGTGTCTTGCTGTAAGCCACCTGCCTTCCCAGTTCTGAAGTTTCTCTCTTGTCAATGAGATAGTCATTATTTTAGTGTTGTAGTAGATGAGATAATACAGGGCTAAATGTGCAGGCTCCTGAGTCACCTTAAAAGCCGTGTCACCTCATGCAAGTCATTTAACACATCCAAACCTCTCCATATAATCGTAGTACCAGCTTCATTGGTGGCTGTGATGATTCCAAAATGTCACAAATAAGGCACTTAGAATAGTGCCCAGCAGACCATATTCCTTCCATTCTTATTAATATTTAGTATTATTTTGGTTACAGTTGAAAAAATAGCTCTTAGGTGGTGAATTTCCTTTGAGCATGATTTTGTGATTCTCATTTGCAGATTTTGTAAAGGAATGATAACTAATTCCCTTATGAAAATCCAGTAAGAAATCATTTTTTTTAAAAATCGAATTCTCCATTTTATATATCCTGAATTGCTTATTTTGAAGGTACATTAAGACCTAGAGGCCAGGGCAGCATTTACTACAGGGCATTCTGAGGAACATAAGGTGCACTAGATATTTTGTTAAATGTGTGTTTTATTTTACCACAAATCCCCTTTTCCATAAAGCATCTCACAGAACTGGCTCCATGGCAAACCCTTTGGGAAATGCTGAACCACAGTCTTCCCTCTTTACACCTCTTTGTTCAGAAAACAAGTATGTTACGCTTTCAAGTAGAGAGGAGCCAAGTAGCAGGGACTTTGATGGAGCTAGTGGTGGCATCTGCAGTGAGGCAGCTTTAGTTAGCTTGCCTTTCCCTACTTCCTTCTCCCGTGGAAACTCCTTATCCTTCAAGACCCAGTTCAAATGTCTCTGCTTCCAAGATGCTCTCTCCAACTTCCCAAGTTAGTTGGTTCCTTTTCTAAGCTTCTACAACCATCTGTGCAGTTGACCCTTAAACAACAGAAGGGTTAGGTGTGCCGACCCCCCACAGAGTTCTAAATCCATATGTAAGTTTTGACTCTGCCAAAACTTAACAGCCTACTCTTGACCAGAAGGCTTACTGATAAGTCAACGAAACATATATTCTGTGTGTTATATGTAAGCTAAAGAAAAGAAAATGCTACTAAGAAAATCATAAGGAAGAGAAACTACATACATTTACAGTACTGTGCTGAACTTACTGGAAAAAAATCCACATATAATTGGACCCACTCAGTTCAAACTCACGTTGTTCAGGTCAACTGTATATATAGTGGTGTCATATCTCAGGTGGGAGGTGGTCAAAACCATCAATCAGTCACCCTTGCTGAAAATTGTATACGATCACAGGTTTTTTTTAGGTCACAGCTTAAAAAGCTGCCCCTACAGAGATCTAGACACTTTGTTCCATAACATTGTCACAGTGTGTTTTCCACTCTTGTTTTTGAAGCGTCCTGTTCCTTCAGTTGAGGCAGCTGGCATGTATTTTAGAGGAGAAAAAATATATATATACATATACACTCGCGCACATATGCACATGTATTTTATTTTATTTTATTTATTTATTTTAAAGATTTTATTTATTCATTCATGAGAGACACAGAGAGAGGGAAAGAGAGGCAGAGACACAGGCAGAGGGAGAAGCAGGCTCCGTGCAGGGAGCCTGATGTGGGACTTGATCCCAGGATTCCAGGATCACGCCCTGGGCCGAAGGCAGATGCTAAACCACTGAGCCATCCAGGAATCCCCTGCACATGTATTTTAAAGATTTTATTTATTCATGAGAGAGGGGCAGAGACTTAGGCAGAGTTGGAGGAGTCTCAACCACTGAGCCACCCAGGTGCCCCAGGAAAATATCTATTTTTAAAGATTTTATTTATTTGAGAGAGAGAGAGAGCATGGGAAGAGGAAGCAAAGAAAGAGAGAGACAGAGAGCATGAGCAGAGGGAGGGGTAGAGGGACAGGGAGAAGCAAACTCCCTGCCGAGCAGGGAGTCTCTGATCAGGGTTGGATCCCAGGACCCTGAGATCAAGGCAGACTCCCAACCGACCCAGGCACCCCTAGGGGAAAAAATATTAATTACAGTGAGATCAACTGAGCAAAGGGTAGGTTCTCCAGTCTCTCTTGTAGCTGGCTCTAGGGCCTACGGTGATGGAAAAGAATGGCAGATAGAAGGTTCCAGAGTCTTTTTTTTTTTTTTAAGATTTTATTTATTCATTCATGAGACACATCACACACACAGAGGGAGAGAGAGAGGGGGGGGGGCAGAGTTTTTTAAGATTTCATTTATTCATGAGAGACAGAGAGAGAGGGGGAGGGAGGGAGGGAGGGAGAAGCAGGCCCCATGCAGGGAGCCCGACGTGGGACCCGATCCCGTGACCCGGGATCCGGCCCCAGGTCGAAGGCGGCGCTAACCGCCGAGCCCCCCGGGCTGCCCGGTGCAGAGTCCTTACCGGCCCCCTCAGCCCGGCAGCTCCGTCACCTCGCCCAGCTGCAACTCCAGGGAGCGCTTGAGGAGGCCCGGTCGCCGCCTTCCCTCAGGGCCGCCGAGCCCGCCCCGGGCCCCCTAACGAGCCTCGTGCGTCCCCTCCCCAGGGCCGGCCCATCACTCCGGTGTACACGGTGGCGCCAAACGTGCAGAGAATTCCCGCGGCCGGGCTCTACGGGGCCGGTTACGTCCCGTTCGCGGCGCCCGCCACCGCCACCGCCACGATCGCCACACTACAGAAGAACGCGGCGGCCGCCGCCGTGTACGGGGGCTACGCGGGCTACATACCTCAGGCCTTCCCCGCCGCCACCATCCAGGTGCCGATCCACGACGTGTACCCGACGTACTGACCCCGCGGGGAGGGCGGAGGCCGGCCCCAGCCACCCCCGCGCGGAACCCTGTGCTATTTATGAAGAACCAACGTGCCGCAGGAGCACGCCTCGGAAACCTGAAGGTGAAGAATGTTATCAGACGTCATCCTGAAAAGATTTTATATTCATGAAGTTTTCACTAGTTTTGTTGCTGTTGTCGTTGTTGTTTTGTCTTTTCGTTTTTGTTTTTTAAGACTATTTTCGACGTAGCGGCCTGCGTTCAGACATTTCTCAGAGACTTGGCGGCGGCTCGCGCCCTTAATTCCATCTCCTAAAAGATTTGTACGCTGCAGTACCTTTGTATAGAGGTTTTTGTTTTTGTATTTTTAAGGATATATTTTCAGTATGAAGGTTATTTTCTTAAACTTCTGCACTCCAGAGATTTCTATTTTGTAGTATCTTCAATAATATATCAATTATATATTGAAAAGCACACTTGAGCAGCTAGGGAACTATTTTCAAAAAAAGATATATTCAATATTTAAAGATACAAACAATAGTGCTTTAAAATACTACATAAGATGTTATTTTAAAAGTTATACTGGAAAGTGCAATTTTAAAGCGAGTAAAATCTCTCTTTCAGCTGGCATTAAGGGTTGACGGTGTTAACCACGTGTTATCTATGACAGTTATATAGTTTTTCTTTTTTTTTTTTTTTTTTTGAGAAATTAAACACTCGATCTCTCCTTAAGCCCACGTTGAAAAGACTTGTCACACTTCTCCAAGTCCAAACACTGGAAAGCTCTCACCTGCCACCATCACCCTGTTTTCCCTGCTGGTTCTCCACGTGTCTTTCCCTCCCCAACCCCCTACTCATTTCCCCAGTCCCACCTCTGGGTTTGGCAAGTCTAGGGCAGATGAATTACTCTGAAGAGAGAACATTGATGGTTTTTATACTTCTTCCTGGGTTTTTGTTGGGTTTTTTTGTTTTGTTGTGGGTTTTTTTTTTTTTTTTTTTGTCTCGGTTGGGGAGGTTTTTTCAATAGCAGAGTATGCATAAGCATAAGATTTTAATAGTTTCCATAAGACATTTTTGCATTGCTATTTAATGTCTCCTTATAAAGCCTTAATTCCTTTTCTAGTCATTTTTGAAGTATGAATTTGTAGAGACAGTGAATGTCATTGTAGACAAGGCACCCAAAGGCACTTGTCACTGAAAGTTATGCTTCTAGCTGCCTTATCATGTTTCAATGCAAAATGTCTGTGGTCGTCAAGGGTGTTAGAAATATTATGTTTATTGAACAGGGCTTTCCTCCGTTGCTGTGCTCGCGGTAGGTGACCTGAATTAGGGCGTGCACACCTAGGAGGAGGAGGAGGGACCTGTATGAGTTAGAAGATAGCTTGTAAATAATCTCCTAATGCTGGTTTTTAGTTTTATGTTGCAGAAGTTCATTGGATAGAATTTAATGCAGAGTGAAAACCATTTTATTTCAATGTTATTAAAAAGTTTTATTATTAGGAAGTAAATGTATTGTTGCAGTGTTGTGCCTGTTTCAAGGCTTTTGTTTAGCAGAGTGAATGTAAAATACAGTAAAATGTTAAGATTGTCATCTACTTTATGAAATACATCAACTTGGAACTTTTTTTTAAAGGCTCCATCGAGGAATTGAGGTGTGCAATAGGTAGCAAGTACACAGTTGTGTTTTTATGCCACATCAGAGATCTATAAAATCTTTCAATTTTTGCTAATGGCTGAATTCTTATTTATGGATTAATAAGAAGATCATGCCTTTAGCAAATATTTTAGTTTTGTTTTAAATTTAAATTAAGACGTTCCCAAATGCCTTCCCCCCCCCATCTTAGGGTGGGATGAATTGTTTATATATAAGCAATATTTATTTAACTGTTCTATAAAATTATTGAGTGCCTACAAAGGCCTTTAAACATTTCTAACATTTCTTTCCATCATTCTTAAATGACATAAAATAATTGTGCAATGTTCCTGATGATGTACTCAGCAAGCTGCATCCAGACTCGAATCTGTTGGAATGAATAATCCAACAAAATGCAATTTGGATCAGATCCTCATCCCTTGACTTTGTGTGAAAGAAGTACTCTCCTTCTAATAAAGGATTGTCACAGAGGTTCACTGGATGAGACTCTGATCTAGCGGTCTTACTGTATTTTACATATGCCTGTAAATTATTTGGGGGAAAAAAAAAGAGGGTAATAAAAAGAACAGAAAAAAATTGATATCTTAACATGGCAACTACCAAACTACCTTAAAAACAGATATTGGTGAGCCTCCTATCTATGTTCTGTTTCTGTTTCAAAACCATTTCACATACACTACTGAGTTAAGTTTATAACTTGAAATGTGAACTTTTTTTTTTTAGGGGTAAGAACAAACTATATAAATGTTTTAAAAAAAAGCTTTAGTGTTCTTTGTTTTCAAACATTCTAGCAGTTTAGTTATCTTTAGTTGCTTTGTATTTGAAAAGCTTTTAAATTTATTTAGATTTCCTCTATTTACAGTACATTCTTAGGATGTATGTAGTAAATAAAGCTTTCTTTGAAGCAATTTCCAGACCTTATTTTAAGTTGTGTTTTCTTTATACTGATTTTTTTTTCTAACAAAATTAGAAAAATTAGAAAAACCCTTAACACTGTAGAAGGAAGTAACTAGTTCGGTATTTTCAGCCAAAGAAAGCAGCAAGTTACTATCTTGCTTTTGGCTTGGAATTACACTGAAGGTGAGTTATATAGGAAAAATTGTGAATTAACTTGAGCTTAGGTGGTTGAAGGTTAAGCACCGAAATTCTGCTTAGTATCTGGACTGGAATAGGATGTGGCAAAGCCTGTCATGGAATTCAGTACTGAAGTTGATGATCCCAAGAGCTTCACACTCAGACCTCTAAATGGAGACAGTTGATGTGACATTGAGTTTGGTGGTCTCATGAAAGTACTGGGTGACCTGAAGGTCTGTCACTGCATTCAGAAACCACAACCTTGTGTTCCTCATTTTCACAGTGCACAGCAAGGTTAGCAGAACACTTCCCTTTTCTCTAGAGAGCATCACTGACTTCCGGTAATTCCCATTAGCAAAGCCAATCAAATGATTCAAGGGCAAGTGATGGATTGTCAATGGAATTACTTCTAAAGAATTGCCCACGTGGCTTTTCCAATGGCCAGGAATTTTACCTTCTTAGTCTTGAGCAGTCTGGGCTATAGCCTTCCTACTCACATTTCTTGGAATAGTAATTTCTTGCTTCCTCTTAAGAAGATCATGGCGTTTTTTAGAGGCAGGAGCAGCCACGAGACTTCCCAAGATGACAGATCATTAGACAAGATGTTCAAGGGCAACAAGATCTGATTGCTTTTTGTTCTGGGGGAAGAGTACGGATGCCCTTCAAATTACAGAATCACAGAGTTTGCTTGATCTCCATTAGAAAAAAAATCATACAAAATGTGTATCACACCTCTACCAGGTGCTGGAGTTGTTTCTATATGCTTTAGCAACTACAGCATGAACAAACCCACTAAACCTTGCACGAGTAGAGCTTACATTCCAATGGGAGGACACAGATTGAGCAGATAGCATGTTGGGTAGGGACAGATGCTATGATTATGTGACTCATTTGGCTTTTTGGCTTCCATAATCTCATGTGGACCTCACAATAAATCAAGTAGGCATTGTGACTGGCCAAGGTCACACAGCTGGTAAGAACCTGGACCAAAATCTATGCTCGGATTCCAAGTCCCAGATTCTTGCTAACAGGACACTGACCCCGGAAATGGATAAAACCAGTCATGCCAACAACCTACTTCAGAGCCTGGAGAAAGAAAAGAAAAGCTTTTCCACAAGTGCAGTTTTCGGTTGAGTTCTAGTATGTTTTCATGTGTGACCTCTTTCCTTGGATGAGAACTGAAAGCAGAATGGCTGAAAATGCCTATTCTCATCCTGTGAGACCTCACAGCTCTAAGCAGAGCTGCTAAAAATGTACACACTGAGTAAGAAATTCCATCTATAAGGCTGTACCAGAGAGGATAGAGAAGGCTAAAGAACTGTCATAGGAAGTTAGCTGTACCCTTCTGATTCTTGACTAGAATTGGTGCCCCACTTTTTTATTTCAAAAATATCTGCCATGGCAATATACACAAGCAATTATTTAGTTAAAAGAATAGTTGGAAAACAAAGTTCTGGTATTTCTTTTCCAGTGAAGAATAATCCCATGACAGTCCAGTATTCACTGGATACTGTTACATGCACTGTGTTAGGTGTGTTTTGTTAGCCAAAATTGCCCTTATGGGCTTATCAAACTCTGTTTTAAGGATATTAGGGTGCTCAACTGTTTAACAAAATGTATATTACCTCAATTATTATGTGATAGTATTTTAATTATAAAGTCTTCTGGGCACTCAGCTTCTATCAGAGGTGGGTTTTTTCTTTAAATATGAAATGTGACATTTTGGCATGGCTGTTTCGATGACATGACATTTTGACACCATGACTCAAAAAAATACATCTTCAGCTTTTAAAAAAATGACTGGATAGGATGATACTCATTTTATCCTTGCCCTACCACTTTCTTGACACATTCCCCCTCTCCAACCAGCCAAGGTCAAGGGCAGGATTAGGCTTCAAAATAAAATGAGGTTCAGGAGACATCCACAGGTGTTTTGCTTTAATTTCAAGTTCTAAGCTGTTGGACTGGATACAGCCTTTCCTTTCCCCTCTTTTCCCTCTTCAGTCATCTTTTTCTAGATATGCAGTATTTCCGTTTCCTGACTACTCAGACCAATATACCTGGAAGAAATCTGGTTGCCCAAAGACTTGCCTCTGGACAAGCACTGTGGCCCTAGTGGAACAAGGCTGGGTTTACAGTACACCTGCCCCAGGGGATAAAACCCCAGCTTTGCTACTTGCCAGATGTGGGACTTCAGAAAAGACGCCTGGCCTCTCTGAGTGCCAGTTTCTTAAGTGGTAAACATAATAATCCAGACCTCACAGTTATTGTGAAAATCAGATGAATTAATGAATCTAAAAGAGCCTGGTATGTTGTAGGCACTTGAGAACACATTTCCCTTCCCTTGTAGTGTGAATGCATTCTGCTGTAACTCTTGAGCCTTTCCACTTACTCTTTTTTATTCTTTTGTTTTCATTGGTTCAATAAACTTTTCTTGAATGCCAGTTGTGTGCCAGCACAGCACGAGGCATTGCAGAGACAACAATACAAAACCGACCCTCTCTGCCCTCCAGAAACTTCTGAGCATGATAAGATCGTGTTGCAGGAGCTATGAAATGGGAGAGGGCAGCCGCACAGGCTTGGGCAGGGCGGGGTTAAAAAGGCCTTGGGGAAAGAAGCGGTGTCTGAGCAAAGATCTACAGAGTGAGCAGGAGTTAGGGCAGCTAAGCAGAGAAAAGAGGGAACAGGAAGTAGCCGGGTCTAGAAGAAAAAAACATGGGAGAGTCAGGCACCCAGAACAAGCTGAATATGGCTGTCTTGGGGAAAGAGGGTGTGCAGTGAAGAAACTCAACCTTTGTTCTGTTCAATATTCAACATGGTTCATGATCCTGTGTTAACTGTAGAAGGAAGAGATTTGATACCTATACAAGGAAATGGGCAGAACCCTAAATCATTCTTCCTTAGCACGTTGAGTTCCAGAAAATGGTGGAAGCCTTCATTTACTGAACTGCAGAGAAAGAGCTCGTTCTCCATAACCGCCATGGCGCCTGGGAGCACTCCCCCTACCGGACAACTCCCATCGTTCTGTCTTCCTGGTCCGAGGTAATGCCCACCAACCTTGACCTCCTGGCAGAGAGTTTGTAGGGTCAGCCAGAGCTCCTAGGGCTCCCCATCCCTTCCTTGCTTAGGGCCAGTTTCCCATCTGGAGCCCTTCTTCCCTTTCCTCTCAGAAATCATACCACAGCTACCCGTGCTGGGCGTCCCCGCTCTCCGCTCTCCCCGTGGCTGCCCTACAGAAATGCAGGCCTTCTCAGCAAAGATGGGAGAGGCCTATAGTCCTCCACAGGACTGTGAGAGCCAAGGAAGGTTCCAAGTAAAATTTTCCAAGACTCACTGGCTTCTTCAGGGGACTCTATTCCACAGAGTTATACCTGCAATCAAATGCAGTACCAAGCCTGCATTTGCAAGAAATATGACCTTTCCTGAGCTAATTTTTAGCCATCCTTTTCTCTTGGCTTGCTCCACTTTGTTTGTCAAAAATCTTCATTAATGATTAACCAACCACGAGGCTTAAATAGGCCTTAGTCATTCTGAGGCAGGTAAGATGTGTTGCTGAAGCCCAGTTCTTTCTAAGATGACCTTGCTGGGGGTGCTGGGTCAAGACATTTTGAGCTTATGGTATTATGATAACACTGGGCCATGCCAGTTTGCTTTTTGTGGGAAATTTTCCTCTCTGTTTTCAGGACCTTTATTCTAAAGACTGGTGGCACCAGGAATTTCTCTCAGCCCTGCCAACCTCACCCCAACCCTGAGTCAAAGATGGCCACTTGATACTTTCTGAATCTTATGCAAAGGGCTAAGCAGAATCCGCTCCTGACAAGGTCTTAAGCCCCCCTTCCCAAATAAGATGTACCCCTAAGAGGAGAAATTGTGGAAATGTGACTGAATCTAAATGTGCTCTAGCATTTCTAAAAGGGAGCATTCAGGGATCCCTGGGTGGCGCAATGGTTTGGCGCCTGCCTTTGGCCCAGGGCGCGATCCTGGAGACCCGGGATCGAATCCCACATTGGGCTTCCGGTGCATGGAGCCTGCTTCTCCCTCTGCCTGTGTCTCTGCCTCTCTCTCTCTCTGTGACTATCATAAATAAATAAAAATTTAAAAAAAAATTTTTTTTAAAAATAAAAAAAAATAAAAGGGAGCATTCAGAGCATAAGAGAAAATAATCTATTTCGCATAATTTCCTGACACCTAACTGCAGATATCCCCTGCCCTCAGTATTTCTTTTTATTCTTCATTTCCCTTATGCTTGGAAATAATGTTAAAGACTTAGAGGGTGATCACTCGGCAGGAGGTAAGAATAATATAACAGTGTAATGAGCTAAAAGTTACTCCCATGCTGATTGAATACTCACTGTATGTCGCTTAGTTGACATGGATTTTTTTAAAACTTTATTTAAAATAATGTAAAGAATTGTGCACATGTCATATATAGCTTGAAGAATTTTCAGAAACAGTATATTCATGTCACCAGCATCCAGATGAAAAACATGACCACCATGCCAGAAGATTCCCTATGGCCCTGTCCAGGCACTGCCTCCTCACCAAGGGTAACCACCACTTTGACTTCTAACAGCATAGATTAGTCTCGCATGGGTCATTTTTCTCATACTTGAGATTGCTGCTACTATTATCCCTTTTAGAGGTAAAAAGCAAGAAGGCAGAGAGAGGTTTAATAACTTCCCCAAGGTCACACAGCTGGTGTGAAAGAGCCTGAATTTGAAACCAGAGTATCTAATCTGGAGCTGGGGACAGGGTTTGTATTTGGGTGGGTAGTGGGTATTGGTAGGGGGTAATTATAATATACACATTTTTAAGGACTTAATTTGTTTCTTCT